CACGGCTCTTTACTTTTGCTCCCTTCTGCCTTAATATCCATGCCGGCCTTTCGCTTCTCTTAGCTTTTTCTAGATGTCAAATTAGTTCCAGCGCCTTGGTTACGTGGCACTTGCGGGAAGCGCCACACCTAGCCCGGTTCCGCACTCCCTCAACGATTCTCGGTGCCGTCTCCGAGGCGGCGATCTACTGAGGGTCAAGATACGATTATTTAAAACAAACCACTAAAATAGGACTTCGGAAATAGACAAAATTTTTCAAGCTTTATTTTAGATATTGTCCGTTTGCCTATAATCACCCCCAGACCAAAAACATCCAACATTGCGCATGTCCTGCAACGCCTTTGCGTTTTGGATGTTTTGTGCTGCACCTATCCTAGACTGGCTTCTCAAAATGTTTGGCTTTTGAAATTGAAGGATTTTTGAAGGATGGGGATTGGGCTGGGCACGAGTAGAAAACAGGAAAGGATGGTTGGTTGGACTTGAGAATATTTTTACATCTAATATAAAAAATTGAGCTATTTAGTTATCAGAAGTTTGACTAAGATAGTGCTAACCAAGTGCCAGGCACTGTTCTAAATACTTTACATATATTTACATGTATTAAACCTGGACTTTGTGAAGAGCTAGGGAAGGTTATCACTAAATACTGAAACAAGACATGAATCCACCAAAACAATCTGTGGCAAAGTGGACAAACCTACTTTGAGTTCACTGAAGATACCATGTTTTGTCATGGGTTAAGCTTTTGTCCACACTGTTCTTCCTGTCTGTAATTAACTTCCTCTATTCTGTCATTGTAAACTCCCCCTCATACTTCCAAACCTGTTCAGGCCTGACCTCTCAGAAGCCTTCCTGAAACACCTCCTCTTACAGAATTCATCACTCTCCTTCATGCTACTGTAGCTTATGCATGCTTCTTTTATCGTGTAAGTAACCAGGATGCCTCCTACACAGTTTGGGGTACAAGTATTGTGCTTCCCAGTTCATCCTTAAAGCGCAAATATTTGAGCCCTCACAAACCAGTAATAGAAAACCGGGAAGTCCAGACTGTCCTCCCTCCAACTGCCTCTGCTTTATGCATACAAGATTTGCTGTGCTTAAGAGGTACCTGAAAGGGAATCCAGTGGCTCAGTCTCATGGCTGAGGAAGAGGGGTAAATGTGGCAAAACTGGCCACGTGTCCCTGATTCTTGGAAGGTGCTTGGGTTCTTCTCTAGGGTGGGCCGCCCACACTCCCAAGCTCTCTAACAGGAAGTGTTCCTGGCCAAATTCCCAGTCACCTCAGCAGATGAGGCAGTGAGGACTTAGGGGTTACAGCTGCAGGATGCCTCTGCACTGGCCGCTGAGTGTGAGGTGGCTCAGGGGCGAGGCCACAAAGCTGTTTAGAAGATGTGAAGTAAACAGAGAAAGCATTGCCCGCACGGGGAACCCGCACAGTGGAGTCAGTGCAGCGTCAGAATCTGGCCCAGGGCGGGGCCTTTCCAGCCTGCCCCCGTGTCACGCTGATCCAAGGGCCCTCAGGCTCTGCCAGTCTAGCCTCTAGGCGTCAGATTCCAAAGTGACCAGCTTTTTTCATGCTCCGGGGTGCTAAATCAGGGCTCGTTCTAGCTTTCACTGCCTTGAGGATTTAGAGCTATCATCATTCTCTTCCTCAGTGGTGACTAACTCCTTTGTAGAAAAAAATAAATAAATAAACTAAAAACGAAGGAAGTTTCCTGAGACCTTTCTTGGCGAACAGTTGGAGCTACTTACTTGACCCCTGCCTGATAAGGATGCGGGAGGCTCGACGATTCCAAGAGGTTTTTTTTTTCCTGGCCAGCTTAGAAATAGTCTTACTAAAATGTAATCACTGGCAGGTACCCTTCTGGTAAGAAACCCTACTACATGTGTATTACACTGTATTTTAATGTTTTTTATTCCTACCTCCTTACTGAGCCTTAAGCTTCTAGATGGTAAGATTATGTCTTTTATCTTTATATCCCCAGCACCTAGCAGATCTCCTAACATGGTAATAGTGATAGCCATCATTACTGTAGTAATAGTAGCAGTAAATCTTTATTGAGTGCTTATTCTGATCCAGGCAGTGCACTGAATGTTTTACGTGAACGATCTTACAATGTAGGTACTATTATCCTCATTTTTACCAATGAGAAATTTGAGACTTAGGTCAAGTAACTTTCCCAAAATTGCACAGCTGGTAAGTGGCAGAATTGTGGTTTATATCTGTTTGTTGAACTTAACTATGCCCTACTTACTGAAAATCCAAACATATAAAACCCGCCAATTAATAGTGAACATTTCCATTATCTGTTAGAGAAGAATGCCGTTTCTCCACCCTAAGTTTCCATGAGGAGAACTGTTCCTGGCCTTTCTCAGAGCCTTGACCTTTTCACCTCTGCTGATGTAAAGTAAATTTGAGCAGAGTAACTGAGTGTACTGGGCTCAGCTCTGCCACCTTTCTCCTTTTGGGAGGTGCAGCCCACAGCAAAAAACAGCCTCTTCTGCCCTCCCAGGTCCTGCCTGCTCCCGTCCCAGGGCTGCCTGCAACTGGGTGGGGACAGCTCTTGCTTCTGGAATTCAGTAAGTCCAGCACACCTGGCTGCCAGAGCTAAAGTCACTCCTTCCAACCTGGCCACCTGTCTCACTCTTTTTATTTCTTCAACTTTCCAGAAGTAGGGAAGAGGCAAGCCATTTCCTGAGCTCTCTTAGAGACCTCTCCCTGCACTCCAGAATCATCAAAGTGTGGATTAAATCTTTTTATTTTAAACAGCCCACAGAGCAAAGGATGGTTAGAGAAGCCAAGACAGGGAGTGATGAGAAAGGAGAGGGGGAAGCAGAAACCAGGAGCTTCATGCTAAGAGTCAACTGAAGATCATTCAGAGTTAAAGAGAAGGTGCTTTGCAAATAGAAATGTAAGTTAATGACAAATAGCAATTTACAACTCGCTTGACCTTCACAACTCTTTTTTGTGTGTGTGTGTGTGTGTATGAGGAACACTAGCCCTGGGCTAACATCCGTGCCCATCTTCCTCTACTTTATATGGCATGCCACCACAGCATGGCTTGACAAGCAGTGCAGTTGGTGTGTGCCGGCGATCCGAACCCAGGGCCGTGTGAAACTGCCTAATTTTTAAATTGGGATTACATTCCACTAAATATAACAGAAAATCCAAAACAACATCTAGCATAAATTAGATAGGAATATTTTTCTCTCATGTGAGGCAGTTCCTAAATTATTCCTCGATTAAATAGGAATGTTTTTCTCTCACGTAAGGCAGTTCAGTACGAATCTAGCAGCTCCACAGTGATTAGGGATCCCGGTTCCTTCCAGCTTTCTGTTCTATCATTCCTAGGGTGTGGCCTTTATCTTCATGATCCAGTGTGGCTGCTAGAGCTCTAACAGCCTGTTCCAGGCAGCAGGATGGAGGACTGGCTGGAAACAGAAGGGGACACAGGGTACGTGTCTTTTAAGGAAGCTGCCACAAAGCACATCTGCTGACATCTTATTGGCTAGAACTTAGCCACATGGCCACAGTTAACTGCAAGGGAAGTTGAGAAATATATATGTATATGTATATGTGTATGTGTATGTATATGTGTGTATGTTTATGTATCTATACAAAGAGAGATTTATTTTAATGCATTGGCTTGGGTGATTGTGGGGGCTGGCAAATCTAAAATATTAAGGGCAGGCCGGCAGGCTGGAAACTCAGGCAATGTTTTTGTATTGCAGTGCTGGGGCAGAATTCCTTCTTCTCCAGGAAACCTCAGATTTTGCTCTCAAAGCCTTCAACTTATTAGACGAGGCCTACCCACATTATTGAGGGTAATCTCCTTTACTTAAACTAATGGTTGGTGTTAACCACATCTACAGTGTCTTCACAGCAGCATCTAGATTGGTATTTGAACAAACAATTGAGCACCATAGCCAGCAAAGCTGGCACATAAAATTAACCATCATGGTAACCAACTGAAAATTTTAAAAAACCGTGCAGGCAAAACAACACTTATCCATGAGTCAAATGTGGCCTGCAGCCTGACAGTTTATAATCCTTCCTCTACAAGCTGGAGCAAGGAGCTTGGTCCTTTATAGATCAACAATATAGCAATACTCTAACCATACTCCCTCCACATAACTGGAATCACACATGCATAAACGTGCCACGGTCCCACCCTTTCTGGGAGACTATACCCAGAGAAATAGCTAGTCTCATTGTCTGTGTGTGTGTGTGTGTGTGTGTGTGTGTGTGTGTGTTAACCACTGTGTTGATGGGATGCTGTCTGATAAGTGACACACTTTTTTCTTTGACCCCATTCTAACTCATTAGATTATTTTCGCTGTAAAAACCAACCTTCTGGTGCTAGGTAGTAATTTCCAGAAGCACAGGAGGGAGGGGAGTTTTGGCTAATAAAAGCCCCAAGCCTTTTAGCCTGTAATCACCAGTCACTCCCTTCACCCACTCAGACAGTACCACTCAGACAGAGGAATGCCACTCTCTTCCACACTCTCTCCAGATAGTTCTTTTGAACTTGTTTTTCTCTTTCAAAGTTAATACTTTGATACAGTCAGCCTAGAAAATGGAGGCATGCTGCAAAGCCGTTTTATCACTGATTTGTAAGACAGCTTTAGATATTATATTTATTTTTTCTTATATGTATTGCAATTGTTTTTCTAATTTTCGAAACGTTGTTTATGATGTCTATCACTGTAATTCTGTACACGCTTGCAGCTTTTCTCAGTCTATTTTAACAATATAAGTACTAGAAATGTGGCTAAAATGGGCCCATTAAAAAGCATTGACACACAAATGATATTACTTAGAAATCCATAATTTGATTAAACGCCAAGAAGATAGAACTAAAATTGTTTTGGGTAAATATGCATCCTCTTTATGTTTCTTACTTCCTGCAATAAATTAGTTTTATATAACAATCACTATACAGAAATAAAAAAATTATAATTAAGTAGATCTTTTTTAGCTTTATGGGAAGCAGATTTGGTTCACCTGGTGGAAGTTCTTTTCCCTGCTGTTTCATTTTCAAACGTAAGTCATCTCTATTGTCATTTTGTTCCTATGGAAAGTTCATTGGAAGTCCTTAGTTATGAAGAAACCAAGAATAGAAGGGGGGCCCATATTGGGGTAGCCTCTGATCTTTGGAAAAATATCTCTCCGTTCTTGAAAATCACAGAAGGCTGACGGAAGGACAATCTGATAGGCTTTCTGTTTATAAAGGACCTGAGTTTGACCCTCATTTAAATGTATGTTTATCCCTCTTAAACACATGCTTTGGATGGCAGAAACCATAATTTTAATGAGGATGCGAGCCCATTGGAGGCATTGTCCCAAATTGTTCTTTTGCGTATCAGTCTTGGATCAAATACAAACCGATTTTTCCTTGTGCCAAATTCTGTACTATAGCATATAGTATTACATTGTTTTACTCCTAATGTAGATTGAATGCCTACTAGCTGATAGATTTTGTAGGGAACATATTGAGAACATGCATTTTCTTGCATTTCTTGCTCTTTTCTACACTTCTTAAGTGTAGCCATGAACTATCTTCAATAACGGCTTATGACAAAAATCTGTCACACTCTTACCTGTGGTCAGGGCTGGCTATATAATTTGCTGGGCCCAGTGCAAAATGAAAATGTGAGACCCTTCTTCAAAAAGCAGGAAAAAAAGTGCAAAGTTCTAATGTAATAGAGATAATAGTGATACATGAACAACTCAATGAACTTAAAAATTGCAAAAATACTATTTTTGGTGTCATAATTTTATTTAATACAACAAACAATAATAGTTTATTAATGTGATATCTTGATGGATTATGAAAATTTTCTGGCTCACTGGTCTGCAAATTCATCAAGATTTATACCTGTCATTTTATTTTCATTTTCAATAGATAGGAAATTTATTTCATGCAGTTTCTTTTTCAATAGCTATGACTGAAAGCAACATCAGTCACTCTCAGCAAATGCAAGATCACAAATACATTTTGATCATTTTCATTTTGAAAAGGATCTTTCTGCTGCTGCAACTATTAAGGATATTTTATAGGCATGACAACATTAAGATAGATTTCTAACAAATTATTTTGAAATATAAATGTTAGTACCTCTAGAGTGTTGATTCTTGTGGAGCAATTTTTATAAACAGATTTAATTCTTCAGACGAATTAGTGTTACTTAAGTCTGAATTTAATTTTATGTATAAATTTATACAATGGCATTTTATTATTCCTCAGACATGAGGAGATGTTTCCTGAAACTTGTGGGGGTCGTACTAACAGCTGAAAGCAGCTTCATGGTTGGAGTAGAATCCAAAGACCTGTTTATGCCTTCTGTCATGGTATCTTCAATGACAAGGAAAAAACTTTTTAATTGCCTTCCTCATTAACCCACGGTTCATTCAAACCTTCATATGAAAATAGTGTTCTTAACTGTAGAAAGTGATGATCTTTACATCTAATTTCTATTTCTATGCATGGAGTTATTTGCTTAGCAATGTTGCAGAAGTTTTTAAAAATAGAGATTCTAAACTCTTTAATAATTCTAGTAATTCCCTGATATGCTTTATTGCAATGCTTTATTGCAATGCTCATTCCCTGATACGCTCTTATTTTGTACTAATTTACTGATAAAGTTTGCTGCCTGACTGCCAGCCATTCGTGTCCCAGTGTCAGGCTGGAGAGTTGATATCCGTGCAGATGACACAGGGATTGGCAAACTGGCCTCCCCCTGCGGGGCCTGGTGCTGTCCCCACGCAGAGCCACTTCCCATCTCTGGAGCCACGGCTGCCACAGCTGGTGCCTCTGCTGCTGCTGCCGCCACCACCGTCACCACTGCAGTGTGGGCCCAGGCACGCGCCCAGTACACCCTGAGCTGCTCTGAGGCACGTGCGTGCATGCTGGGGTGCCTCACTGCCCGAGCCCTCCGCACACACGCAGGTGTCACCTCCGGTAGTGTTTCCACTGCTCTCACGCATGCTCCGTTGTCCCATCGGACTTCACTTACCAAACACAAGGTCAAAAATAAAATGATTAAGACTTTTAAGACAGCAGCAACAGAGGATTAAACCAAGCATGGGTCCCTTCTGAGAACTGGGCCCTGTGCAACTGCACAGGTCACATGCTCATGAAGCTGGCCCTGCATATGGTCCTACAGTCTATCAAGCATCAGGATTTGAGCTGTTTGTAGAAGAGCTGGTGAGGAAATGATGGCACTGACCGATTTCCTCTGCGACCTTAACTTAAAGCAATAGGTTGTTGATAAATATGCATCATCTTCATACTGATATGTGTGCTCTTTGAGAGCAAGAATCTTGTCTTATATAACCCTGTATTCATCACAGAGCCTACCTCCGTGCCTTGCATATAGTAGATGTTAAATAAATTTGGTTGAACAGATAAATTGCTATTCTTCTGTTTTCAGAGGGGTAACATGTACAGAGCTGGAAATAGAAAGGTGCTTTTTTGTATAAGTCACTGAATTGATTAAAGTCAGTGCAAAATTCTGATCTGTCTGATCCAGGAGGAGGAATATCATTAGGAAGCACTGTGTTTCCTGTACCCACTCCACTAATGTGCCTGTGTGTAAACTTCCTGAGTTTAGTAGGAGTCTTTTGGCCTTTGCCTGTACTTCCAGAGAATCTCATGATTGATTTCTACTTTTTTCCCTTTGTTTCTTAAGAGGACGTAGTTCTTTCCCAGATCTAAGGTTAAGATGGCATTATTCTTTTTTTTCTTTTGTGAAGAAGATCAGCCCTGTGTTAACATCTGCCAATCCTCCTCTTTTTTTGCTGAGGAAGACTGGCCCTGGGCTAACATCCGTGCCCATCTTCCTCCACTTTATATGGGACGCTGCCACAGCATGGCCTGACAAGCAGTGCGTGGGTGCACGCCCGGGATCCGAACTGGTGAACCCCCGGCTGCCACAGCGGAGCGTGTGCACTTAACCACTTGTGCCTCTGGCCCAGCCCCAAGATGGCATTATTCTTTACCAAGAGTTTCCAAAGGTAATTTTGTAAATATTGTTTTAGACCAAACTATGAATGACTACTCACTAGGGAATTCTAATCAGAACACAGTGTGCAAGTGGGAGATGATGAAGGGAAGCAGCAAGGTTTATAATTGTGCCTATAACTTTTAATTCAATACTGTCTCCTTTAGGAGGCAAGTCAGGGTGTCACTGCTCCATTAAGTAGCAGGAATACTTGCCTTGGGTGTTTCTTGTTTCACTATATAAAAGTTTGAATTTTATGGTAATGAAGACCTTGTTGAGTCATGAAAATGAAAGGTAGGCCTTGATGATGCAAGGCAATTAACACTGAGTGCTCAGTCTGTAGGTAGCCATGCCAATGCAAATGTCTACTAACCAGTTTTAAGGTCTATCCATATCCCAAAATATCTTTTGATCTTGGTGATGTCTATAACCTACGAATAAGTAAAATTTATTAATATACATGCCAAAACCAGCATACTCAGACTTATTCATTCTGACACACCCTCATATTATCAGGCACTTCTGCATCTAAATTACCACCCCCTAATAAAGACATTCCAGAGAAGGCAATCCAAGGAATGCAAATAAAATTCATCTGAGTTAAGATCCTCTGTCCCTCTTATATAAAACAACAAGAACAATAACAAAACTTTACAACTTGACAATCTGGAAAGTTGTTCCGAGAAGGGAAAACTATTAAAGCATATGAAATCATGATTGTGGATAATGTAAAATCTGACTTGTTCAACACATTCCGGAATTCTAGAATGTCGAGTCAAAACTCTTGAAGAATGAAAGAAGGAGTTTTACAAAAGAGAAAAGTTGTGTAAATAACTTAGAGGATGCCAGATAACCACAGGTGTTACTGACTGAGATTATGAACGAGAGGCCCAAAATGGATTTAGGTAAATTTATAATAGATTAATAAATTATTTAGAAAAATCAGGAATTTTGATGTCTCCTCCACCTCTAAATTTATGAGCTTGATTTCATGGAAGGCGCTCACCCTCTGACAGATTTTACTCTCAGAATTGTAGACTCTGGAGTATGGGAGAGAAGAAAGGGAATCCATTCCCATTTCATTGCCCCTCACCAATGGCTGTAATCTCGAATTGCATGATTATCCTGAAATTTACAGTGTGCTTCCATGTCTTAAAAGCTAAATCATGGGGGCCGGCCCCGTGGCTTAGCGGTTAAGTGCTTGCGCTCCGCTGCTGGTGGCCCGGGTTCGGATCCCGGGCGCGCACGGACGCACCGCTTCTCCGGCCATGCTGAGGCCGCGTCCCACGTGCAGCAACTAGAAGGATGTGCAGCTATGACATACAACTATCTACTGGGGCTTTGGGGGGAAATAAAAAAAAAATTAAAAAAAAAAAAAAAGCTAAATCATGGAAGGACACAATTTTAGATGGAAAAGGAGAAAGACGAATTGGAAATACAATTTGGCCATGACGATTAGGTGGTAAGGAGAAATGGAATATTGATTAAGCCTGATCAAGTCCCTCCTTTTCCACTCATTAGTATGGGCCACATTTTGCACTGAAAATGACTTACTCTCACTATTTCTTAAGCACAGAATTGAAGGAGGAGTATTAGAGAGGAATAAGTTAAGTTGTTTCCAATTTACTGGATTACACGGTTTCTCTGACATGGGCTTTTTTTTAAACCTCTAAGATTTTACACAATGCACATGTCAAAAAGTCATGGTCAGAATGAGTTAATAACAGGCCACAGGATAGTGGGTTTAGAAGTAAGGAAGCAAGAGATCTCAAAGTGCTGATTTTTTTTTTTTTAGGTTTTGGGGAGGAAAAAGAATTAAAGATAGGCTTCAAGTTGAAGAGTAATCACTGTCCTCTTGATCTTAATATTTTGAAGAATAAAGGCATTTATTCCAATTTCCCACAAATTCTGCATTTCTTTTATAAAACTTGATAAAAAAATAATATGTGGATGAGATTGTTGCAGTTTATGGATTCCTGTGCATTTCTTTGGACTGAATTTCATTTCCTCCTTACTCTAATGGTTACTGGTTTCTTGGTAGTATAAATGCACAATTGGATCATTGCTTTTCATATATGTTGATATAAACTACGCTGAATCTTTGTAAGGTAGATATTGCAATTCTGCAACAAAGTAAAGTAAGGTAGGAGACTAGTGATTTATGTAGATAACAGTGACAATAGAAGCATTCATTTAATAAATATTTATTGAGGGCCTGGCCTGGTGGCATAGTGGTTAAGTTCGTGTGCTCCAGTTCAACTGCCTGGGGTTTGCAGGTTCAGATCCCGGGCATGGACCTACACACCACTCATCAAGCCACGCTGTGGTGGTGATCCACATACAAAATAGAGGAAGATGGGCATAGATGTTAGCTCAGGGCCAATCTTCCTCAGCAAAAAGAGGAAGATTGGCAACAGATGTTAACTCAGGGCCAATCTTACTCAGCAAAAAAAAAAAAATTAATTAATTAATGAGTGTCTATTATGTACCAGATACTCTTCTAGTGCTGGGGATACATCTGTGAACAAAACAAAAATCCTGCTCTCATGTAGCTTACATTCCAACGACGGGAGACAGACAGTAAAATAATAAGCACAAGTGAAAAAGCACATTGTAGAGATTTTTTAGAAGATAGTGCATCAGTTAGCTATTGCTGCAGAGCAAACCAGTTCAAAACTAGGTGGCTCGAAACAATAAGTATTTATTATTGCTCAGAAGAGCAAAGGGAGATGGAAATCAAAGAGAGAGGGTTAGGTTGCAATTTGAAATAAGGAGGTCACCTTATTGAGAAGGTTACCGTGGTAGGCAGTCTTTTAGATGGCCCCCAATGATCCACACCTCCTGACAATCCTGTCCTTGTGTAATCTTCTTCCTTTGCGTGTGGGCAGATCTGGTGACTCCTTCCCAACAAATAGAATATGGAAAAAGTGATGAGACGTCACTTAGGTTTAGGTTATAGAGACGTGTCTTGCAGCTTGTATGCCCTTGCTTGCTTGCTGTGATGGAACCTGGGTACCATGCTATGAGCTGCTCTATGGAGAGACCCATGTGGCAGGGAACTAAGGGAGGCTCCTGGCTTTAGTTCAATAGCCCATGAGGAACTGAATCCTGCTAACAATTGTGTGAGTGAGTTTGGAGGTGGGTCCTCCCTCAGTGGACCTCATTGATGAGGCCTCAGCCCGGTGACACCTTGATTGCAGTGAATCCTTGAGGCAGAGGCACCCAGCTAAGTTGCACCTGAAATTCTGACTCCCTGAAACTATGAGATTGTAAATGTTTGCTGTTTTAAGCTGCTAAGATTTGGTGTGCTTTGTTATACAGCAATAGAAACTAATACAGTGACTTGAAGGAGGTGAGGGAGTTAGCCATGTGCCTAACTGGGGGAAGAGCATTTTGGGCAGAGGGAACAGCCAGTACAAAGACCCTAAAATAGGAACATAACTGATATGTAAAAGGAACAGCAAGGAGGCCAGTGTGTAGGAAGAGTCAATGAGGGTAAGATGGGAGATAAGAGAGGTGACTGGAGGCCAGATCATAGGGGGGGCTAGTAGGTTATTGTGCGAACTTTGGCCTTAATCTGAGAGAAATTGGGAGCTGTTGCAGAGTTTTGAGAGAGTAGTGACAAGATCTATGTTTTTGAAAGATCATTCCGGCTTTTGTTGAGAATCAACTGTACGGAACAAGGCAGAAAGCAGGGAGACCAGTTAGGAGTCTATTGCAGTAAATTGGGCAAGAAATGATGGTGGCTCAAATCAAGATGGCAGTTAGTAGAGTTATGGCAACAGGGAGGAATTCTGAATGTATTTTGAACGTAGAACCACTGATTGGTTTGTGGCGTGTGAGAGAAAGAGAAGAGTCAAGGAAGACTCCATCATTTTTGGTTTGAGTAAGTAAAAAAATGTAGGGAAGACTCTTGGTGGGTCAGGTGTGGGGGATGAGGAAAATCAGAAATCACTTTTAATCATGTCGAACTTGAGATACTTATTATACGTCAAGGAGAGATGTTAAGTAGGCAATTAGACACATGAGTCTAGACTTCAGGAGTGATGTTTAGGCTGGATATATAAATTTAGGAGTTGTCGGCGTACAAATAGTATTTGGTCATGAGACTGGATGAAAGCACCAAGTATAGACACAGAAGAGGACCAAGAACTGAGAATTGGCGCACTCCAACACTCAGAAGTCAGGAAAGAGAGAAGGAGTCAGTAGAGGAACCTGGGAAGCAGCAGCCAGGGAGGTAGGAGGAAAACCCAGAGGTGCGGCGTCTTAGAGTCAATTAAGGAAAGTGTATGGGGGGAAGGGACCACCTGCTGCTGCACTGTTGGTGTGATACTGAGGATCGAGCACTGGATTTGGCATGGTCGATGAAGACCTTTTCAAGAGCAGCTTCACTGGAGTCATGAGGTCTAAAGAGTGCCTGGAGTGGGTTTAGCAGTGAAAGGAAAAGAACTGAAGCTAGCAAGAATAAAATAAATCTTTCTAGTTTTGCTGCAAAGGAACCAGAGAAATCAGATGGTATCTTGTGAGGGAAATGGGGTTAGAAGGTTTTAAAAAGGTATATGTCTGCTGATGAGAATGTTGAGGAAAGGGCAAAAATCTGAAGATCTAGTAGGAGGGAGAATGGCCAAGCAACGTCCTTAGGTAGAATCTAGTGCTCAAGTGGAGGGGCTAGCTTTGGGTAGAAATCCAGAGAGATTATTTATCATTTCAGGAAAAAACTGTAAATGACTGAAATAAGCAAAAAATATTGCCGTGTCCCGTCTAGCACACTCTTCAGGCTATCTGCACCTTTGTCTTTGAGCTATTTTACAACTTGTTAAGTCCTAGACAACTGATAGGAATGCAAATAATTCTTTTCCGTAGACATACAAATGAACTTTGTCCAACGGAGACACAATCGATTTTCCTCCCTGGCTACGAAAGCCAGTTTTGCATCCATTAAGCAAATTCATTTTCCCATGCCTCATATATGTGTCTGCTTTTAGGATTCTTCTCTGAACTGGTTCTAACACCTTACTGGTTCCTTCATTACCTAATGAGTTAAATAAAATCTTTGGCACATGCTCGTTTTATATTTGTATGAGAATCATGATTTTACAGTCTTTTGAAAAAAGTATTCTCGAGCCGGCCCTGTTGGCCTAGTGGTTAAAGTTCGGCACACTCTGCTCCTGCGGCCCAGGTGCGGGTCCCGGGCATAGAACCACACCACTCATCTGTCAGTAGCCATGCTGTGGCGGCAGCTCACATAGAACTAGAAGGACTTACAACTAGAATATACAACTATATACTGGGGCTTTGGGGAGGGAAAAAAAGTATCCTTAACAATAGTAATGAGGAAAGGTAGTGTATATGGACACATGTGCTTAGGTGGATGGAGGTGGTGGTGGTAACCTGTGCAGTAGCTTCATTTCAACAGCTTCATTTTCCTGAGGACAGAGAAGGTGTAACAGTCAGCAGAGAGGGGGAGTGAATGGCTGGAGAATGTTAGTATGACTGTAGCATTAAAGACCACTTGAGGTTGGTGGTCATGAATCTGAAGTGGGCTGTCAGTGGATGGTATTTCTCCAGCCACAGTTTGGTCACATAGGTACACACACAAAGGAGGGAATGTTGAATTTAAACAGGGTTGTGGCTCTGCTAAATCAGTAGGAAAAAGCAATGTAGGGAGGCAAGAGTATTGAGGATATATACGGAGGAATGATTATAGTGAGTTACTTGGAATTTAAGCAGGGTAAGGAGATAAGACTTATGAGAGGTGAAGGACAATAAAAATGCCATGAGATCAATAGATTGGGGGTCCCAATAGGGTGGAAAGATGGTTGAAGTTGCAGTACTAGAACAATGAGCTAGAAAGACGGGAGTTTTGTAGTCAGAAAGGAAGCAAAATATTCTCCCTTCCCCTAGTTTTATTTATGGTCTTTCTCAATGAGATGATTCCATGAAATCAAGTCTTGTTTTCTTTCAAGAGTGAATGGGATCTGCAGACAGGCAGGCAGCATGATGAGCAGTCTCTGTGGAAGGTTGTGCAGTTTGCACACTGCATAAAGGACACCAAGCTGAAGAGGTGAGTGGGGCTGAGATCCAGGAACTCTGCTCATTGAGCTGCAGCTCCATCCCCTGCTGCCTTTTGTGCCCACACAGGTTCATGCCCTGCTATCATAAGGATGTTCCTAGAGGGATGTCTTTTCTAATTTACAGAAAAGTGCTGCGTGGGCCAGAGAGCCCTGATAAAAACTGCACACGCGCCATGAGGCTTTACCCAGAGGGTGGGAACCAGGAGGCAGATTTGTCTTTCTGCTGAGAAATCCCCTGTGTTCTCTTGTCCTCTAAGTGCTTCAAGTGTTTAGAGTCTTTTTGAAGGAAGAGACGCAATATTATACTCTCTCATCATATGCATAGAGTAGCTCTTTCTAACAGTTTTTTTATTTGGATAAATTTTGCTTTCCCCAAAACCAATACCTGGTTTTCTAGACCATTGGTGTTTGAGAAAAATGATGAAGGATGCATCGCATGAATTATTCACGGATCACTGCCACCTCCACTGTTTCTTGTCCTTTTATCAGAAAAATCTTAGAAAGTTAGACTAATCTAAGGCATTTATAAAAACCAGTTGAATGGTTTTTGTTTCTGATAAGCAATGTGAAAGAGTGAGCAGAAATTGCTTAGCTAGGTGTCAAAAATTTCTACTTGCTCATTTACTATTTTAAGGTCTTCTTTATATATCAGTTCGTTCTGAGATACATTTCTTATCAATGGACCTTGTTTTCAGGTACCTTTAGTGACGCTGATGTTTACAGTCTCCTTAAACTATCTATTAAGCTTTATATAAAAATATCTGCAAAGTCTCTTTTTTTTTTGGTAGGAATTCTAGCAATAACCACTCACTGAATTAAAACACAATACAGAACACAGCTTTGTAGAGACAAAATAATCCACGCTCACTGAAAGCAAACGTTAGTATAGAGGATGAGCTACAACTCGGAGCTACAACAAAAACACAGGCTGATTTCAGCACACTTTTATAGTCAGCAGTTAATCCAGGGAATGCTGTTAGGACGTGGTTCAGCATCACGTCCTCTAACCTAACAGTAACAGAGAATGAAAGATTAAGATTATCCAACTAAACCAGCGGGAAAATCAAGACTCTACCCCTGAGCTGTTTCTGGGTATCCATGTGAAGGGTGTGCAGACTCTCTGTGGAGCTCTCCCTTTGGGCACAGGGAACATTTTCACTAACACAAAGAGCAATGCTGATTGTGATCTTGCAAGCATAGCACATTTCTCAATTATTCTCCACTGGTTAAGCTTTCATCAAAGAACATGCTAGTCTGTTCTGAACCCCTTTGAGAACATCACTACTTCCTCTTTTTTATCTTCCCCTAGAAATGCCACGTTTGGGCAAGGAAGGGCAGGGGAAAGGAAGAGACATGAAGAGCGTGCTTGGGACAGCAAGGATGCTAGCGGCCTGGAACAAGGTGAGCGGGCCTGGGGACGCTTTCTCACAGCCCCTGATGGGGTTCTTCACAGGGGACACACATTATTTTACTTAAAAGTGCAATGAAATTCTAGAAGACCAGCCAAATTCCTAGTCTAATCTGGGTATAAAATTGCATGCTAACGCAAAGTACATTTTTCCCCCAAACAATTTGCTATTAAAAATTATTCATGCCATTTGTGTGGAAATTGAGACCAACCTGCAATATGCTTTACATTTCCAGTGTAGACAGTTTTGTTCCTGAGTCCTGGTCCTGAGGATGGCAAATCTAAATGATAAATGAAATAAATATGCCATGTGTTTGAATAGACTGAGCAACTGATTGATAAGGTATTTGATTGATGGGACAGAACATGCTACATCAGAATTGTTGTAAGACCTTTAGAATGTGCTTTGACACGCATATGTTGAAAGTAAGATTCAAAAGATTCTCAGTTTAACAGCTGTGGTTTATGACTCCAAGGATGGGGCTGGGGAGGATATTCTTAGACTGTGCATTTGACATGTGTCTGGTTAACAATGGTGCATATTAGGGCAAAACGTCAGTACCAGTAGACCATGACATCTGCATGAAAGGAAAAGGTCACACGTCGGTTGATAAGCCAGTAAATCTCATGCTGCACGAATGTGCTGTTTTTACTGCGTGGCTCAGGCTGTAGTTATTATTTTGTAAGTTTTTATTTTTCTTTCACACCACACATTTATCTCCCTTCGATTTAATCACGGGTATTTTCTTTAACATAAGTTATTTTAGGTGTCAACTTTATTCCTAAATATCTTCAGATTCATTCTATTAGCTGAAATGAACTCAGACAGACATTAATCCAATTTGAATAACTACAACGAATGAGGCTACAGTACTATCCAGTCCAGAGTGTCAGTCACTCATGAAGGCTTTTTATGCAGAAAAATAAAAATATTTTATTTTCAGACGCTTTCACTTTTAACGTACACCCTTGAAAGAGATGCCAAAAAAAGTATTAAATAAAAAAGGTTTCAAACTTTCTGTTTCGCTGTGATTTGAGGGGGAGATGAGTGGAAATGACCACTGATGGTTACATAACTAGAAATCTTTGTGGTCATGTGTGAAAGTATAAACTAACTCCAACAAACTCATTTTTCCCTGAATCCACTGGTGTGAAATTATATATTGTTGTTATTTTCAAAGGCTGTTTGCTTTTATTGAAATGCAACAGTTAGTGAGAACCTACTATCTGATGATATAGTCCAGCTAATCTGTCCCTAACAGGAACGAAGCCACGGATGGTGTGATCTTCCTTTGTGCATGTATGTGTAGGTTTGAAGCCGTCTGTATATTCTTGGTTAGTTTGCTTTTGAAGCAGCTGGAAGCAGTCTCACTGCTTAGCAGTGGGTTGGTTTTATAAGGCCTCTCAGAGAGCAGACACAGCACTCCCTGGTCTGCCAGAAGTATTTCTTCTTTGAAGATTCATTTTCTTGAGGGATACTGCTTTGCTGGTTCAGTGAAGACTCTGGGGTATAAAAACGGAACACAGAGTTTCAAACGCTTCTGCAGAAACTGCACTTTGGTGTCTAGACTTCGTTGTCCTTAGGAATTGAACCTGTCACCTGGTTTGCATTCTCCATGATTGAGGTTATCTTAAAACAGAAATGGTAGGAAAGCTTTCCTATGCTTTGGATAGGAGACAAATTTGCTTTTGTAGAATTTGTGGCTGAAGAAAGCAAACAGGGCATGGCTGAAGAAGACATATGTCACCACTAGCCACCAAGTTAAGTTGTGGAATCCAAAGGTGACAGCCATGGAAATGTAGATCATCAGCTCTGCTAAATAGTTAGGGGAAGACACGTATTCAAACCAGTCTCCAAAAGGGATTCGGTGGTTACAGTGAATGACCACTCCTGAAACAGGAAAAGAAGACTTCCTGAACAAATGAAGTTGTGTAAAGAAAGTTTTACCCCTTCACTCCCCAAAGAATTCACAAAAACTCTTATTTAGAAAAGAGTGTCACAAACCTGTGTGTGAATCACCATCCTGTCACACTTCCATTGTCAGTCTACTACTTTTTTTTATTGAGGTAACATTGGTTTATAACATTATGTAAATTTTAGGTAAACATCATTATATATGATTTCTGTGTAGACTACATCATGTTCACCACCCAAAGACTAATTACCATCCATCACTGTACACCTCTTTCACACTCCTCCTTCCCCCCAATCTACCACTTTTTAATAAAGTAACAGGCTTTAGGTTACACTATCAACCGTAAATAAGCACAAAAGGAAAGCCCATTTCTCCAACCATCCTCCAAGCTAGTAATTAAGAGCTCAGACTCCAGTTCAAATCCTGGCTCTACTGCTTACAAACTGTGTAACTTTAGGTAAGTTGCTTAACCTCTCTGTGCTTTAATCGCCTCATCTGTAAAATGAGGATAAGACTGTACCCACCTCAAGTGAGTATTGTGAAGCTATATGTAAAGCACTCAGAACAGGGCCCGGCACAAAATAAGCACTTGATAAATATTGAATAGCACTTGATAAATATTGAATAGCACTATTCCATTTTTAATACTTCAAAAAGCCCCCAAAAAACTACCTGTGATAAGTCAACACAAGCTAACTAAAAAGTCAAGTGTTTTGCTTTGGCTGGAATGACATCAGCTCAGCCTGGTAGTACTAGTGCTCACATGCTGGTGAGACACACATATGCAGTGCAGGCCCCAAAACGTGGGCACAGATAGAATCAGAGAATGTCAGGGCAGGCTGGGGCCAGAGAGATCTGTCAGTATAATGCTCTCATTTTTCAGACGGGAAGGTCAAGACCCAGAGATGTGTCTTGTCAAAAGTGAGTGTTTGATAGATTAAGCAACTAATTAGGGAAGGAAGAAAAAGAATGAAGGAACATGGACAACGAATATCTGAGGGTTAAAATCCACATGCAGTAGACCCATCTCACCTGCTTTATTTTTCCTGAGATTTCCGAGAATGACATGGCACTTATACTGATGGGCAGATGACCAGATGAACATCATCATTCCGAGGATATGGAACCACCGAGCTTGCATCAAGAGATTTTTCCCCATCACATAGACTACAGAAATAAGAATTATCTTACAATTATCAACTCTGCAAAATTCCAGAGGCTCAGGGAATTAAAAAATCATACAGTCAGTAGAGCACAATTATCCACTTATTCTGTTCCTCATGACTAGAAAATTGTCCTGATATAATTTCCCAAGTACAGAGGGGAGACCATCCCTCTGGACAAAGGAGATATGCTCCTCAGCCAGGGGCAGCTTCAATGGCTCCTGGCAGAGAATCCCATAATGACACATTCTCTTGCTCCTTCTTCAAACGCTTCCAGCACAGGGCTCAGCTCCGTCTCCCACTCTTGTGATGTACTCTTGTATGGTGGGATGACTTTGCCTTTCCATTTCTAAGCCTGGTTCTATGTCTTCTTTCTTTCTTTTTTTTTGTGAGGAAGATTAGCCCGGAGCTAACATCTGTTGCCAATCCTCCTCTTTTTGCTGAGGAAGACTGGCCCTGGGCTAACATCCTTGCCCATCTTCCTCTACTTTATATGGGACACCGCCACAGCATGGCTTGACAAGCGGTGCGTCGGGAACCGAACCGGTGAACCCTGGGCCGCCAAATGGAGGGCGCGAACTTAATTGCTACGCCACTGGGCTGGCCCCTGTGTCTTCTTTCTTATATTCTACTGTCAGGAAAATGCTGCCTAAAGAGATCTCTCGCTGAGCTACCACGCTAAGCCACTGCTAGTGAGACCCTGAAGGCAGAACGCTGACTTGACTGGCTCAACCAATGAAGAAAACCACTAGAAGTAAAGGCTGAGGGTGGGGCTTCTCAAAAAGAGGAGAAATGTAAAGTGCAAGACGAAAAACAAAACAGGATCTTTTCTGATTAGAAAGAACCTAGTCAGAGAGATTTAGTTTTTTTCTTTGTTGTGAAATTTTTGTTGTATATTATTTTTTGTCAGTCACCATACAAATGCATCCCTTCATCCCTCGTGCCCACCCCCCTCCCCCCATGCCCCCCAGGTAACCACCAGAGATTTAGTTTTAGGAGAAGAAATACTCCAAGCATTATCTTCCTCTTTCTTTTCCAGCTACCAGGAAGAAGGGGAGAATGCAGGTCTTCTAAGGGCCTGAAGAGCAACCCTTGGCCATCAGAAAAGCAAATGAAGGACTTCCCTAGGATCAGCAGGAAGCAGTAAGGCTAGTCAGGGACTTGACTGAAGAAACAAGTTGTCCACTGACAAGAGGGAAGGGCCCAAGGCTCTGGAGCCAAGGGGGAGCCCCTACAAAGGGGATCCGAGTAAGAGAAGCAAGGATCCTGCTAGTCCATGTGGGTCCCTGGAGGCAGGGCTCAGCTGACGGCAGCTAATGACTACTGAGGATCCCCCAAAGTCTACCTGTGTTAATTTCTTTTAAAAACTTGCTCTATATAAACAATCTACCATAGTCTCTTAATGTTTACTAGGTTTAGCCATTTAACTAAAAGGTTATATTTTTACAAGTTAAAAATAAACAAAATATGAAAAATACAGTTTTAAATTGCAAGGGCTTTAAGAGCAAGTCAGTATAGGATTAAAAGTCGAAGCAAGAGTCTGGGCGTTCACAGCACTGCCGAGTCACCTACTCTAAATGCAGAGAAGTCACCTGTGAGGGAAAAAGATCTGTTAAGAGTCAGTCGGAATTACAATACAGGAGAGCAGGCAGGTGGAAGGCTCATATTCACTGAGGGTCTGATCTGTGTGGTATTCAATCGTTCATTTATTCGTTAGTTACTTGTTGAGTGTCTACTGAGCCTGGCACTCCTGTAGGCATGAAGGATCAACCAGGGAATATGTCAGGCAAGCTCCCAGTCCTCATGAACTCATGTGCTAGTGCCAAGAGACAGACAGAAATAAGTAAATCAATAACCAAGATAATTTTGAGAAAGATAGTACTCTGAAGAAAGCAGAACAATGTAATGGAGAGTGACTGGGGGAAGACCCAACAGACTTCGAAGAAAAGGACATGTGAAGATCTGGGAGGTTTACAGATATTCTTTCTTTTCATTTTCATAAGAACCCTCTGAAATCAGTATATGTCCCTAATTACCGATGAAGGTTCTAGGTTCAGAGAAGTTAAATAAGCCAGAGTTCAGACTCAGGCCCACCTGACTCCCAAGCCCAGTGTTATTTCTATCAGACCCCGCATCTGGCAAATGCCCCAATGTGTTCTCTCTCAACAAATTCCTGAAACCAGTTCTTCCCATATTGTCCCAAACGACTGCAGGTGACCTCTTGAAGGACAAGTAGGTGAAACAGAAGACAGCTTCAGAAAGGAGTGTCTAGAAAGCTATTTTTGTGGGTGCCTCAGCTGCCTTTCCTTGACTATTTACACAGGAGGGAGGGCAGAAGTTGGGATCCAGCCAGCAGCAGAAACTCCAGAATAGCTATGTAATGCCAATGGAAACTAATAGACTGAAAGCTAGTGGGTTACCAAAGTGCTTTGGAAAGTTCCTTTGGGTGGAAAACCCAGTACTGTTAACCAGGAATGACAGCTAAAACCATGACATGGGCTGCACATGAATGCCACAGCAGAAAGATCAGGAGGAAAGCTGATTTGATTAAGTTCAGAGGAATCAGATGGAGAGATGTTAGCTGAGTGGCTGAAGCCAATAAATAATTCATGAATTGAGAAAGATCATCAATAAGTTGTACTTTAAAATCATTCCTCAAACCATCAGAGGCCTTGGGTTGTTCTACAGCCACAGAGAGAGGATGTTCAAGGGACACTCTGACACTGAAATGGAACCTGAGGAGCTCACTCACTGAGGATTGGAAATATCTAGACCTCAGTCTCAATTTACCAGGATGGATAGGGCAGCTTTAGGAAACATGGAATCTTGGACTTAGAGAAAAGTCATGAAAAGATCTACCCTCAGTGTCTAGGCTGATGGATACCACGGCTGCAAGGTGAGGTTAATCTCAGCACTAAAAACTCATTTCAGTCACCCAAAACGACTTGAATTCTTTATAATTAAGCATACACTGTTTTTACAAAAATGATAGTCATAGGTGTTAGATATTCACCAGCCCCCCCCAAACCCACTTCATTTCTTCTTCGTAAACCAAGATCATGACTTTGCTTCCCTCTTTCTGGCCAGGGAGAGCTTAGAAATGTTAAGGCACAATTTTGATTTACCACAGTCCTCTTTTATACTCAGGCTGCCTCACTTGAAGAAAAGCTTTGTTATAATGGGAACAATCACAAGAAATAAGCAGCAACCAACTGGCTCCCTTCTCCCTTTTGAAATCACAACTATTCACCACGTGCCCAGGCCCCTCTCCCCACCTCCTCTGATTTTCTATGATTTAACTTCCCCTTCCCCTGTGCTCACCCCTCACCCTTCCACACACACACCCCAGGTTGACTGAGGCTTGGTGAGGCAACTTTCCTTGCTGACCCCGTCTCCTGTTCTTGAGTGTCTCCTGCTTCCTGTTCAACTCTTGACCACACTCCCTCTCTCTCTCCAGACTAACTCCACATGAGTTCACTGACTTCAATCCCATTAAGAGAACCCCACATCCCATTTCTTCATTCTTATCTGAAGCCGCTTGGATACTTCACACTTTACTATATTTACTGAAGGCATTACTGCTTATGTTGGTGTCTTTCAGGTTTTAGCAGTTATGCTTAATGAATATACCCTTGGGCATGTTGACTTTTTAAATCTACTATTAGACACCAAACTCGTCAAATGCAAAGTGGATGGGGCAGGTCTCTTACTTTTAAACTCTCATAACGCCTGGTGGAGCGCTTCCCCTGAAGTGTACCTCCTACACCCAGTGACTCAGCTAACGGACCTCGGGGACCACTCACCATTCTTGCCGTCCATTGGCACTTGGCTCAGCACAGTTAGGCCGACGATGACATAGTAGAAAAGTCCAAAACAGTACTGCACGACGTGAATCATGACATTGGAGAAGACACTAACATACAAGCACTCGAAGAGTCTTCGCAAGCTGTGTAGCCACAGAAATACTAATACTAAGAATGCAGACAGTGCCAGCTCACCTCCTACAATTCAGAATGCAACACATTCAGCAACTCTCTTCTGGGATTAATCCAAAGTTACGTTTTTCCCTACTGTTAAACAGAGTATTAAACAAGATGAGCGCTAGGAAAGAGCCCTAGAGATCATCCAGTCTAACACCTTCCTTTTGTTAGCACCGAGGAAAGAGGCAAAGTGAACTCAAGGAATTTGGCTCCAGGTTACACAGTAAGCTGGTAACAGAGCTGGGACAAACTCAGGTCTCTTGACTCTGCCTCGTCACATGGAAGCTTTCCAGGCTTTGTGGACATCACTATAAAGGGGTCTGAGTACTCAGAACCCAGGGTCTGTGGGTCTCTGGTCCCTGGCTCTAATAGCCAGATGAAGATGGTTAGGACGAGTTCCTGGATGACCTCTGAGCAGCCCCACCTGGTGGGATCCCTGGGGTCAGGGGAGACAAAACACACAGGTACCCACAGAGGCAGAAAAGGGGACAGGAACAGAGACAGGGAGAGTTATGCATATAACTCTTCTTTCCATATTAAACAAAAAAGAAACTATACTTTTAAGGGACTGTGGCCTTGAGATCTATCTTCCTACCTGCCTTTCACCCCTCTGCCCCAAAAGAGGTCAGAAGAGATGCTGGTTTTCAAGATGACATAAAACCTAGTTTTTTTTTTCTAGTGAGGAAGATTAGCCCAGAGCTAACATCTGTTGCCAATCCTCCTTTTTGCTGAGGAAGATTGGCCTTGAGCTAACATCTGTGCCCATCTTCCTCTACTTTATATGTGGGACGCCTACCACAGCATGGCTTGATAAGCAGTGTGTACGTCCGCACCCGGGATCCGAACCTGTGAACCCTGGGCCGCCTCCGAAGCGGAGCGCACGAACCCAACCACCAAGCCACCTGGACGGCCCCAACCTAGTTGTTTTTTTTAAATGAATCTCTCTCACACACACACAGACACAGACACACAGACACACAGACACACACGTTGTAAGGATACAGCTTAATGAATTTTTACAAAGTAAACCAACACATCCCACCCATATAACCAGCACCCAGATCAAGAAACAGAACAGGACCAGCACAGCACCCTCTTGTGTCCCCTTCCTGGCACTGCCCATCCCCCACACCCTCAAGGGTAAGATCTATTCTACTTGTATCAGCCTAGATTAGCTTTACGTGTTTTTATATTTTAACTATACTAAAGCCTAGTTTTAACTCTTTAGGAATAGGTTAAAACAAATAACCAAATAAAACTCACAATCAACCCTCCAAATACTAGAACCCCGCCAGCCCCCTGGTAAAAACATGAAGAGAAGTTTTAATGCGTGCAGTGGAATTTGCTGAGGTATCCTCCCCTCCCAAATAGGATTTGCATAGTTTTCCCTTCCGACTGTCATCTTCTGCAACAAGTTCCTCTGGTTATACAGAAAAGGACTGTTCCCAGGGAGCCAGTGGTTTGGCTGCTGGAACAGAGGCCAGAGACAGTAGCAGAACAGTCTGTTTCTAATTCTGCCCCTCACTCACCGCCTGACATTAATCGAGGCCACTTTACCGTTTTCAGCTTTAATTCTCTATTTTAAAAATTGTTCTATATACCCTTTATCTGAGGCAGAATGAGGCTGATTTAAAGGCTATTTTGTAATCATCTGGTCAACAAATACAGTCAATTTTATTATACAACCCCAGCCTTACAGCATAACAAACATTTTTAACTGGTGATCAAAAAGTAATTTTCTATCAAATTTCTGGAGTTCTGAGACATGATTTTGGTTGGAACTATACAAATGATAAATGTTTCAAGGCAAACCCGAAGGATCCTAAAAGTTTTTCCCCTTCAGTGTAAGGACTTCTGTATAAATTTATCAACAGTACTAAAAATATCAGAGGGAGAACAGCCAGTCCTGTACACAGCCCAGTGCTCGCTGGACAGGCAGGGACAAGGAGCTAACTCTGAGCTCTGCCCCATCTCGGTGGAGCTCTGCCCCCATCTGGGGACATCCTGTGGGATGGCTGTGAACCATGCAGAACTCTCTTCGCCCCACCTTGCACTTCCCAGGCCCCGCGGAGGAGGAGCCTGAGCGTGGCTGTGAGATCCGAAGAACAGCCCCCTGCAGGCAGGAAAGATGGAAACAGGATGCAAGGGTGGTAATTAGCTGATGGAGTTCTTACCTCGGAATTGCTCAGCCCCAAGAATCCTGAGCAGGCCGTGCAGCCAGTTTGGTAAAGGCGCTCCCAGGAACAGAGATTGTGTAAGGTGCCAAAGCAGGAAACCATTCCACAGCACAGAGATGATATAGAAGTGAGAAAAATACCTGCGAAGGGAGCAAGTTAGGTCACAGAGTAGATCCAGTGTAAGCCAGCATGAGGAAGACGATTTTTAGTTTCTCGCGCCTCTTCTCCTACTTCCTCTGTAGAGTTCTGCTTCTTAATAGAACCTGAATCCTGCAGGGGTTCAGATTTTTAAAATTTCCTTTCAGATGATGGGACTGCTTAACTCATGGGAAAAACAGGCCTCCTGAGGTTAACAAGAACACGACTGAACTTGTGAAACTTAGATCGAGGGTCAATTAACAATCTCTCATCTCTGGGTAACAGGATCGGGCTCCAGTTCCAAAATGGGGGGCCCCAGGCCCTGGGAGAGAGAACCAAGATTGTGCTAACACAAGCCAAATCTGTGAAAGATTTCTAAATTTCGAGCAATATTGCTGCAATACAAGTGTTACACAAGATTTGCACAATCAGAGGCTCTCAGGGCTGTAAGAAATCTTTGAGGTTTTCTGATTCAGTGTTTTTCTAAATTGTGTTGACTGAAATTACTTTTATAATAAGATGACAAATATTAACTCATAAAACTAGGTACCAACTCCTAGGTTACAGCTCTCATACAAGTACAGCGCCTATTTTGCAATCAACACAGTTACAAATGGAATACAAATAAAACCACAAAACCGATAAAAATTGCAATTAGCAACTTGCAACGTTAATTTGATGTGAATGATGTTGGCGTGCTGAAATGAAATCACCTAATATGGCACAAGGGCCACAGAAGTTCTTTTGAGGTCTGTTTACCCATACTTTTCCTACTCTTTTTCTCTCTTGAAACCAAATCAAAATCTTTCTGACTCTGCAGGGTGTCTGGAGGTCATCTGGCCTGCCCTGGTCTTTGATGCATCACGTATATATTAAGCCCCCCGCTCCTGTCTCATTAGTCTGTGACAAAGTAAGACAACCTGGAGTCAAGAGGAGTAAACGGAAACTCAGGGACCCCTCTTCCAGATGATCCAGAATGAGCTTATACCAGAACTCACAGCCCCCAGACCATGCCCACAGCCCAGTCTGACAAACACTGATCCCATCTGATCATTCCAGAGCAACCCACTTAATTCTCCCAACAACTGTTACAAATTCTCTCAGTGGATCTGCCCTCTCTGAGTCATCCTCTTATTCCTGGATCTTCTCCAGGCTCAAGAGCTTAGTTTTCTCAAAAGTTCATGCATCAGCGTCAGTTCTACCCTCTCCTCCCCACCCCTGGGCCACCGGCCTTTGGTTGCCTTCCAGGGTCTTCCTTAAGACACACTTCCTAGAACTGAGCCCAGGTGTGGCCTGAGCCACAGGAGCCGAGCAGGATGTCAGCAGCGCTTGGCTCTGCAGGCTCCCATGGAAAGGGGAGGGGCCGGCTTCTGAAGAGCAACTTCTGGGCCAGCCACTTTATCTACTTCATTTTGTCACAAATATTTATTGAGCAATTAACTTGCCAGGCAGTGTTCTTGGAGGAAGGAGTAAGCAGACCAGGTGCCTGCCTTGATGAAACTGACCTTTCAGTGGACAGTCAACAAATGAACCTGGAGACGTCTAGCATAACACTGAGCGAGGGGACAGAGAGGGTGCAGAGGGGAGGCCATTCTGGATGGCCTCTGTGGAAGTAACATTTGGCCAGAATGAGTAACCCTCGTGAATTTCTGGGGAAGAATTTTCTGGGCAGAGGAAACAACCACCACAAAGGCTCTGAGGAACAAGGAAGGACGCCTGTGTGGAGAGGGATAAGGTGGTGAGGCGGGAGGGGCAGCTGCTACAGGGTCTTGTAAGGACATTGGCTTTTATTAAGTGTGATGGGGACCCATTTGAGCAGAGTGACTTGAAGTAATAATTTGTTTTAAAACGCCCCTGGCTGATGGAAAAGTTCTAGAGATGGATAGTGTTGATGGTTGCACAACAATGTGAATGTACTTAAAGCCACTGAACTGTACACTCAAAAATGGTTAAAATGGTAAACGTTATGTCATGTATACTTTACCACACGCACACACACAAAGGGCATTGCTCATTTATTTCACTCTTCTTTGAGTTAAAAAAAAGATCCCTCTGTTAACTAGGTAGAGAAGAGTCTAGTTGTGGGGAGACCAGTTAAGATTATTTCATTTCCTCTTCACAACAATCCTGTAAAGTTTATGTGGTTGTCTTCATGTGGCAGATGAGAAAACTAAGGCTCAGAAAGGTTAAATTACTTATCCCAGGTCACGCTGTAAGTGGCAGTGTTTGGCTCCAGACTTGGACCTGATGACTCTGAGGTTAAAATCACATGGCTGCGCGCCTATTCATGCAATCCTATTCAGGCAAGCAGGTTGCCTCAACCTGCTTTTCTGGCCCATTACATGTGCCAGTTTATGCCAAGCCTAAAGTCAACCCAATCACTCAAGATGCCACACCTTGCTGTGTTCTACTTCAGCCATGGTGTTTTTGATTCACAGGCAGACTTTTTTTTTTTTTTTTGGCTGGAGAAGATTCACCCTGAGCTAACATCTGTTGCCAATCTTCCTCTCTTTTGATGTGAGCTGCTGCCACAGCATGGCCACTGACAGACCAGTGGTGAGATTCCTCACCTGGGAACTGAACCTGGGCTGATGAACCAGAGCATGCCAAACATTAACCACTAGCCATTGGAGCTGGCCCAAGACTATTGTTCTCATTCCTACATTTTGTACGTTCTGTCTCTGGTTTTGCTTGCCTGATTTCCCTCTACAGGAAACATGTTCTACTCTTTTTTTGTGTGTGTGCGAGGAAGATTAGCCCTGAGCTAACATCCGATGCCAATCCTCCTCTTTTTTTTTTGCTGAAGAAGATTGGCCCAGGGCTAACATGCCCATCTTCCTCTACTTTATATGGGACGCTGCCAAAGCACGGCTTGACAGGCAGTGCGTTGGTCGGCGCCTGGGATCCGAACCTGCGAACCCCAGGCCACCCAAGCGGAGCACGCGCACTTAACTGCTCCGCCACTGGGCTGGCCCCACATGCTCTACTCTTTATAAATCTCTCGCTTTTTAAAAAGACCCAGCTTGGGGCCTGCCCTGTGGCTTAGCGGTTAAGTGCGCGTGCTCCGCTACTGGCAGCCCGGGTTCGGATCCCGGGCGCACACTGACGCACCGCTGCTCCGGCCATGCTGAGGCCGTGTCCCACATACAGCAACTAGAAGGATGTGCAGCTATGACATACAACCATCTACTGGGGCTTTGGCGGGGGGAGAAGAAAGGAGGAGGATTGGCAATAGATGTTAGCTCACAGTCAGTCTTCCTCAGCAAAAAGAGGAGGATTAGCATGGATGTTAGCTCAGGGCTGATCTTCCTCACAAAAAATAAAAAATAAAAAAATAAAAAGACCCAGCTTTAGCTTCAAACAGCAGATCTAAAAACTCCATGTCTTTGTGTTGTAGACGCTCTCCCTCTCTTTCCTCCCTGGGCACTGTGCTTCATTGGGGCACTGTTTTCCGAGCCGTTGGAAACAGGGATATGGCGATCCTGAGGTAACACGGGGATCGGCACGGAGCAAGACTCCTTTAATAAACATTTTAGTGCTTATTATAGGCCAGGGACGGCTCTGGGGCTACAGCAACCAACACAACAGACGACTCCTGCCCTCATGGAGTTTATACTCACACACAAAAGTAAATTTCACAGCATGTCAGTACGTGATAATTGCTACTGAGAAAACTGTAGCCGGGAAAAGAAGAAGGAATGCTGGGGATGATAGAATTACACTTCTAAACAGAGTGGATAGAGCACGCCTCATTGAGAAGGTAATATTTGAGCAGAATTATAGGAAGTGAGGGCATAAACCATGTGACTACGTGGGGGAAGACGGAACAGGCAGTGCAAAGGCCCTGAGGCGGGAGAGAGGACTAGCAGAGAGGCCCAGAAAACTAGACTAGAACCATATGAGGGGCAAATTACAGGAGACAAAGTCAGTGAGATGGTGGGGACAAGACTATATAGGGTCTTGGGCTCTTCCTGTGAGTGAGTTGGAAGCCAATGGATAGTTTGGAGCCAGGAGGCATGATCTGACTTAATACATATTTGCTGATTGCCGGAACTGATCCCAGGCCCAGTTAGGGGCATTATGGGGTTCACTAAGGAAGGGAACTGATGGTTACCGGGTTCTGACTAGGAGCCTGCCCTGTGCTGCATGCTTTAATGTCATCGCCATCTATCTGACAAGCAGATACCAATCCATACCACCACCTCTGGCCTGGACCACTATAACAGCCTCTTTTCCAGTCTTCTCCACACAATGGCTAGTCATCCTTTCAAAACATCAATCACATAAAGCCATGCCCCCTTCCCATCCTAACGCTGTCAACAGCTCAGAACAAAGTCTCATCTCCACCATGGCCTGTAAAGCCCTGGGAAGCCTGCCCTGCCTCCCCCTGTGAACTCGTCTCCTGCCCTGCTCCTCCCTGGCCATCGTTTCCAGGGCTGCCACCCCCACCCTGTCTCACTCATGATCCAGGAACCCGGGTGGATTTCCTCTGAAGCACTTATCACCATCTGAAATTATCTTGCATGTTTTACAAGACCTATTTACATATTTCCACATAACATAAGATGGAACACAAGCTCCAAGGAGCCTGGAACAGCTCCTGGCACACGGTAGGTACTCTCTGGTTAAACGAACAAAAAAGACAACGTACCTCATCCAAAGTTACTCTCGGAGTAAGCAGTCAAGTTAATCAACAAACCAATTAAACCTAAAACTTCTTTTTTAAAAATTCATTCAAAACATACTGATTGAGGACCTTATTATCAATCCCCAGGCATTGAGCCAGGAAAATGGTAACAAGACAAATGTAAAGGTATGGAAAGTTTATAGTCTAGAGCAGTGATTCTTTTTTTTTTGTGAGGAAGATCAGCCCTGAGCTAACATCCATGCCAATCTTCCTCTTTTTGCTGAGGAAGACTGGCCCTGGGCTAACATCCATGCCGATCTTCCTCCATTTTATGTGGGACGCCACCACAGCGTGGCCTGACAAGCGGTGCATCAGTGCGTGCCAGGGATCCGAACCCTGGCAGCCAGCAGCGGAGCACGCACCCAACCACCATGCCACAGGGCCAGCCCCTTATACTTGCCTCCTTTAGGAAAAAAATAATCCCAAGAAAAATTACCTAAGCATTGTCTTAGGTGCAGAAACATGATTTACAGCAGCCTATTTCTAAGTGTAAAAATTGTAGGCTCATTTTCACTTTTAAGAGACTACTGAATTTTGTACCAAAAAAAATACTTAAATATAGCATCTAGACATTTTTGCCTTTCATTATTGGCCTGGATTTGCTGTAATTTCTCCAGTAGTAAAATAAATGTTTGTTTAAATTTAGAAAAAAGCAAAACACCATGGGAGGTTCCACTCTAGAATTCTGGAAGAAAAAAAAGGCATAAATTATTTCATAATATAGTAGAAATTACAAGAAACCCAAAGAGTACTAATTGTGGTAGTAATGAACAAGGGAAAGGTATCAAGTCTGTTTCTTAGCTGTCATATAACCACAGACCTGAGTAGTCACAGGTGGGGTATGAGAGCCAGAGAAATAGGTAAGTGCAGGGAATGATTTGAAATGTGTCCTTTAATCCATGGACACCAGTACCTTTTCCAAAATTCAGAAAATAAGTTGTTAGAATTCACACTCTCTAAGAAATAATTTTTTCTTCACTTTATAACATTAAAAAAATGACTATCTAGGAATGCCACTGCTATACAACAGAAAAGGACTTACTGCAATCAAACCTGTTTAAAAATAGGGTGACAGGTAATTTTCACTTAAAAACAGCCTGTAAGAAATAGGAGGTATATTCATCTTGTCTTGAATACTTCTATGTCTTCCCAGGGCCTCATTCCCTTTACCCTTCCTCAGAATGACCCGGTGCTTCCCTCTCTGTGTTAACAACTGATGGATCTTTCTCCAAGAGTCAAGAGTGGAGGATTATCCATGTTTTGGAAGCCAAGTTATACTTAGCCCCTGTCTTTTTCTCTCTGTCTTTTTTTTTTTTTTGCTGGGAAAGATTTGCCCCAAGCTAAGATCTCTTGCCAATCTTCCTCTCTCTCTCTCTTTTTTCCCTCCCCAAAGCCCTAGAACTATATTCTAGTTGTAGGTCCTTCCTGTTCTTCTATGCAAGCCGCTGATACAGCATGGCTACTGACAGACTGGTGGTGTGGTTCCACCCCAGGAATTGGTCAGGGCCAGCGAAACAGATGGTGCAGAACTTGAACGCTAGGCCATCAGGGCTGGCTCTACTTAGCCCCCGTCTTATCTGCGGACCTCGGGCACTGCCCATGAGAGGTTTAAACGATATCCCAGGTGCTTTAATACATCAGAAACCCTATCACATTCCTCCAGATTCCTTCCTCAACACCAACTTAAGATGCATCTTAAAGATTGAAAAGCCACTGCTCTATTCCTACCATCTACCAGTGTTTGGCTGACTCTTCCCAGCTATGTTCTGAATTCAAAGTAAAAAAACCCACAAAACAAAACCCAACTATAACAAGCCTTACAATTTCCGAAAGAATTCTATTTAAGCCCTATCGATGTAATCTTTCGTTGAACTTGGTTATGAAATCTGTTACAAGTCAAATGAAGCTTCGGCATCCAGCTTGCGTAAAATATGCCATCTTAGGCCACTTTCTCCAGGGGCACCTGCCAAGGTGCAGATTAGGAGGGTCAGTGTGGCAGAAGGCGGTGGCGCCAGTGTGGTGACCTGCCTCCCGCCCTTCGTCCTGACTGTGACGGTCGGAAATAGGGGAAACAGAGGCGCGAAGGAGGGGAAGGGCTCCCTTCATTTCTAGTGAGTTCCGGCGACCTCAGGTTAGATTAGGAGCCCCTAGAGTGCAGGGGAGGGGCGAAAGGGGAATTGGGGCACAAAGGAGACCTGAACTTGCCGCCCGGTGGCCAGGCCTAAATTTGGAAGCGCTGCCGTTATCCCGGAGGGAAGGACTCCGGGCGACCACAAGTTCACGATCCCGCGCCCTCGAAGTGCGCGCGGCTCAGCTTCCTTGGTGTCGGCGGACAGTCGGGACATTCCGCCCCCAGGGCCACCAGGCGGACGCGGGAGTGCCGGGCGGCCGGGCCCAGGCAGCGCGGGGAACCCGTCTGGGCCTCCGAGGCCCGGTCCGCGCCGGCCCCGCGTCCGCCTCTGCTGCCCCCTGCCGGCTGCCCGAGCCAGGCGCTGCCCGCTCTCCGCGCCTTGGCAACCCGGGCATGCGCCCGGGGCGCGGTTACCTCTTGGGGACATCAAAAGCCCGGCAGGCGGCCGGGCGCAGCGGCCCCTCGAGCTTGGTTTTTCCATGGCGGATCAAGTCCTGGAAGAGCGCCCAGCCCGGGAGCAAGCCGGGCGGTACGAGCTGCAGCAGCAGGGTCAACAGGAAGGCGGCGGCCAGCGCGAGCCACAGAGCGCGCAGCGGGTTCAGCGCCGAGAGCTCGACCCCCATCCATGTAGCCATGGTCGGCGCTCCCCGCTTCCGCGCCTCCAGGACCCGCACTGCCCGGCGGCGCAGCAGCCACCACTCGCGCGCCGCGCGCCACTCTCAGCCGGGCGGGGCGTCGGTGACGCGGCGAGGGGCGGGGACACCCTCGGCCCCAACCGGGACTCGCCCCCGAGGCGGATGCGCCGCCTGGCCGCGCAGGTGGGCGGGTCGGGGTCAAGCTGGCAGCTCTAGGTTCCTAATCTGACTCAGGAGACCGCAGAATATCGTTCAACGCTATGCTTCGAAGAAGCGAAACTAACAAGACCACGTGCCTGCAAGTCTTCACTGCGGCAGTGTTTTCAATGGGAAAATGCAAACGACCCTGAATGGTTCCCGTTGTTTAGCTAAATTGTGGTACAGTAGCACGTTGGAATATCTTGCAGCCACTAACATGATAATTTTGAAGACTGTAGAAACACGGAAAGCTGTTTATGACAACTGAAACAGATTAAATGAAAAGAAGCCAACTATAAAATACGTGGCTATGATTGCAAACAACTATATTAATATCAATGTGTGTATATGTGGATGAAGAAGGCAGGTCATACACAAAGATGAATACATGTATTAGGATGTTGGGAATGTGTATAATTTAAACGCGTAAAGTAGAAAATCATCAAGGTAACTGCAAACAACACTAAAATAAAAGTGGTAAAAGTTGTATTTTAAAAACAGCCGTCCTCTCCCTGCTGGAATTCCACTTCTTAGAGGCAAAGTTTTTAGCTCCATCCATAACTCTGTTTCTTCTATTTACCTCCATGTAGTGACAATGCTATTTCTTGACTCATCTATTAAACAGTATTGATTTTCAGTTAGGATAAATGAAAATTTAACTTTTTTAGGTAATTATTTTTTAAAGCATTTAAAATGTCCATTCTAAAAAATATTGTAACCATGGGCCCATTTACAGCCAGTTCAAACAGACCCCATCTCTTATCAACAAAGTGATTAAGGATTGTCTTTCAGAAAAACTGCAAAGTCATCTAGCCAGGGCATGCGCAAAAGAAGAAATCGTCAAGGGACGAATGGATAAAGAAGCTGTGGTATATATACACAATGGAATACTACTCAGCCATAAGAAACGATGAAATCCAGCCATTTGTGACAACATGGATGGACATTGAGGGTATAATGCAAAGTGAAATAAGTCAGAGGGAGGTCAAATACCGTATGATTTCCTTCATTAAGTAGTAGATAATAACAACAATAAACAAACACATAGGGACAGAGATTGGATTGGTGGTTACCAGAGGGGAAGGGGGGAGGGAGGAGGGTGAAAGGGATAATTCGGTACATGTGTATGGTGATGGGTTGTAATTAGTATTTTGGTGGTGAACATGACGTAATCTATGCAGAAATAGAAGTACAATGATGTACACCTGAAATTTTTACAATGTCATAAACCAATGTTACTGCAATAAACAAAAAAAAAAAAAAAAAAAAAAAAAAAAAGAAGAAATCGTGACCTGAAACGACCTAGGAACCAAAGATCGTGCTTCCACAGAACCCAAGGACCGGGACATGACCAGAACTTGAATGCTGGATTCTTATTAGAACCTAGGGGTCCTTCATTCAGGAAGATCTGGACTTAAAATTCCTTCCCTATCTCATGCAAAATATTTAGAACCTCATCCTAAATGTTTAGAATCTCATCATAAATGTTTAAAACCTTACCATAAATACCTGAAGCCCACCAATCAAAACCTGTCCCACCAGCGTTTCTGCATGCCAACCTGTTCTCCCTAACCTCTTAAATTTTGTCCCAAATCCTGAAATGGGGAGAGAGATCTGAGGGCACATGCCCCCTGTCTCTCTGGAGATCGATCTTGCAGAATAAAAGCTGATTTCTCCCCACAAAGGCCGGTGTCATAATTAATTGCCTTGTTTATGCACATCGGGTAGAGAGCCACAATTTTGTGCAGTAACATTATTGTATGCCTATAATATCACAGGCACTGTTTTGGCCACTGAGGACAGAGAGGTTTACAGGACAACATCACTGCCTTTTTGGAGTTTACATTTTTGAGACTGGGTGGCGGGTGAGGCTGGGGAGAGGGGAAAGGTAGCCCTTACCCCAGTGAGAGACCCTACATGGGTGTTGAATAAGCATGAGGGAACTGGGTGGGTAGGTTAATGGGACTTCGACAATCCTTTGGCCTGTTAAATGTGTCAGCTTTTTAGAGTTGCTTCTTTGTGCAAGGACACTTAAGGCTTTACCAATGACTTGAGAGCCGTGTGATAAAGGTCGGTTAAATTGGCCTTTCGGCTGGAACAATGAGGTCTTTTTGTATGACCCAGGATCTCTTCTTCGGAGTCACCCCTTCACTGTTTCTTCATTGTTCTTAGGTTAACCACACAGAAATGCAGCTGGACTTTCTAGGAAGTCTTTGCAGACAAACTACTTGTAAGTGCATTGCAGGGACCAAGTTTCCTGGGTGGGAGGTTCTCTCATAGTTATTTCACCTGGGGGAAAGATTGCAAAACAAGACAGGGGTGTGTGTGTGATAGAAACAGGAAAGATTGAGGCTAGAGAGGAAAATTATCCCATACTTTGGAGTGCGTAGCTCCTATTCAGACAAGCCCTCTGTAGAGCGCAGTGGCTGAACAGGAAGCCTCAAGTCTAACTCAACTGAGAGCATTTGTAAATGTTTAAGTCCTTACTGGGGTGAGTTATTTCAAAAGTGGAAAACCAGGCTAAAGTCTGTTGGAGAGATCATTGCCAATGTATATCAGTCAGTTTTTGTCTTTCTTCGTTTAATTACCAGCACTATATGATCCACAAACCTCTGGCCTTGCCTACAGTAACTGACAATGCCATTTTTTCAATTGTTCAGGCCAAAACCCTTGAACTCAACCTTGATTCCTCTCTTTCTCTCACAGCATAAATACAATCTGTCAGCAAATCCTGTTGGCTCTACCTCCAAAATATGAGTCCAAAATTCAAACACCTTTGGAGTCAGTGCTTTACTGAAGATCCTAGCCAGCTCAATAAATAAGAAAAAGAAATAAAAGGTCTAAGGACTTCAAAATAAGAAAAAAACTGTCATTATCTGAAGATAATATGAAACTCCAATAGAGTCCACAGATAAGATATTAGAACTAATAGGAGAGTTTGGTAAGGTTGCTGGATACAAAAATCAGTTTATAAATATTGATCATTTCTATTTCCCAGCAACAAACAAAAAAAAGTTTTAAAGATACCATTTTCAGTGGCATAAAATATTATATGTCTAGGAATAAATCTAATAAAGGATATGTAAGTCTTCAAAGAAAATAAAATGTTATTGATATTAAAGAAGACATATTTAAAAGGAGAGATATACTAAACTCACAGATTGGAAGACTCAATATGGTTAAGATGACAATTCTCCCCTAACTGATATACAGAATAAATGCAATCCCAATGAAACCCCAACTTTTTGTGACACTTAACAAGCTGATTCTAAAATTTATATGGAAGTTTGTTGTTAGTGCCATCAAGCCAATTTTGACTGCCCTGTGTACAGCAGAGCAGAACCCTTCCCAGTATTTTTGTGCCATCCTCTCTATTTCTAGGCTATGTTAGACAATGCTCCACTGCTATTCGTAGGGTTTTCATGGCCAATTTTTTAGAAGTGGGTGGCCAGGTCCTTCTTCCTAGTCTGTCTTAGTCTGGAAGCTCCGCTGAAACCTCTCCATCGTGGGTGACCCTGCTGGTTTTTGAAATACCGGCGGCATAGCTTTCAGCATCACAGCAACATGCAGCCACCACAGTATGACAACCAACAGATGGGTGGTGTGGTTCCCTGACCTTCTCTTCATCAAAAGACACCATAGAGTGAGAGACAAGGCATAGACTAGGGAAAGGTATTTGCTATGCATATAACCAATAAAGGATTAGTATCCTGCAAGTTAATAAATAAAAAAACAAAGACAGACAACTGTCAAGAGATTTTCACATATTGAGGTATATGGTGTAACTAGTCAGGTTCAAAACTGATTCAGCTTGAACTAAAGAAGCCTGACTTATGGGCTGTCAAACATACACTGTATATCTGCTTTAACCATTATTATTTATTTATTTTTTGTGAGGAAGATCAGCCCTGAGCTAACATCCATGCTAATCCTCTTCTTTTTGCTGAGGAAGACCGGCTCTGAACTAACATCTATTGCCAATCCTCCTCCTTTTTTTT